CTGGGATTGTCATGTAAAACCATCTTGTTTCTAATTCAAATAAAAAAGTATGAAAAAAAAAACTGGGGGTCGATCTCTTCTCAGATAAAGACCCCAACACGTTGGGATAAAATCCTTTTGCTTTTGCATCAAAAAGAAAAAACCAAAAAACTGAGTAAAACAACCAATAATCGGATGCTTAAAATGCTTCCAATAAACATCTTAGGAAACAGAAACTTCTGCGTTGAACTAAAAACCAATTTAACTCACTGAAATATTTTATCCTCATAGCAAAAGACCTACTTCCTATTTATAAAGTAACATTCAGTCACTTGATAAAACCACTACCCTATACAAAGAAAGAGTACAGCAATGGTCATTAGCAAATGTATCAACACACAGAAATGTCATACCTGTGTGTGGTGTGTGTGTGTGTGTGTGTGTGTGTGTGTGTGTGTGTGTAAAGGGGGTAGAGGCCAGTGGTGGTGGTGCATGCCTTTAGTCCCAGTACTCGGGAGGCAGAGGCAAAAGGCAAATGGATCTCTGTGAGTTGAAGGCCATACTGGTCTACAGAATGAAGGTAGGCTCCAAAGTTACACAGAGAAATCCTGTCTTGACAACAAAACAAACAAACAAACAAACAAACAGAAACAGAAAAATAGCTAAAAAGATATTGTGCAAAATAGGGGAAACCCTTTTTCTTTTGAAGTGCATAGCTCACAGGCTGGTCTTCCTACCAAGAGGGCCCAGACAGTGAGGATTAAGACACAAAGTAGGTGAAGACAACAAAAGCTCTTACTTTTAATTTTATACCCCTTATAAGGATATGAATTTGTTACGATGAATTAAAAATAAAATAGCAACGGCTGGAAACTAGGTAAAGGAGGAAGTACTGCTATGAGCAACCCACATTTCTTTATAAACAATTTACCTCCTCACATGAATATATGGCAGTTTATAGTCCATTTAAACTACAAGACCTTGCCACTTAAGTGAGCACATAGCATGAGCTGTTATGGAAGGCAAACAGAATAGATATTTCATTTTGAGTTACCCATTTAACCAGCTTTCCCAGAAAACCACACAAAACAATGGTTCAAATAATGAAAAAAAAAAAAAAAAAAAGTCATGATTTTGTACCTTTTCCTTTGCAGATAAGAAAACCAGAGGTCAAAGAGTCAGAATGGAGAAATCCATGAACCTCCTCGAACAAGCTCGACACACAGGAGCAACGTAATAATTCTCTTCCTTTGCTTTCTCTTACCTGATCACAGATCAGCTCCCATTTCTTCTCATTGTCATACTGCCGAAGTAACCTGGCTTTGTCAGGAGGTAGGTTCATAGCATTCTGTGAAAATAAACAGTAAAAAGATCTGTTACAAACCACAGTAACTCATAGGGAGAAAAGAAAATTCCCTTGGTCCTTTCATAACAGCATCCCAGTGCCTCGCATATGATGCAGAAGTCATTCCCACACCCCTTGGTGTGCCATTTAAATACATGAGAACCACTCATCTCTACATTCAGTTGACGAAAGGAAGGGGTGGCCTGCTTTACAACAACCAGACATGCATTTCAGTAAAAGTGACCCTGGCCATTCACTTCATGGCAGCCTCCCTTTATAATTAACTAAAAGGTCAGAACTGGATTTTCAGAAAGTATGGCTCCAATGTAGACACAAAGTCACCAAAAGAAAAATTAACAGCCATAATCACTGAAAGATATCATTTGTACCAGGTGACAGTAGAGCTGCTTTCTACAATAGCCTGGCAACCTGAGTTCATTCCCCAGAACCCACATAAAAGCTAGGAGAGAACAAAACAAAAGGCAGACAAACAGCAATAATTGTCTTCTATGCCCTCTGTGAAAAGATGCCATTCCTTCAGCACTTGCCAATTAATTCCGCCTTTAACTATGCTTGCATATAAAATTGAGCTTCCAGTGAGCAATGGACACTAAGGTCAACAAGATATTTAGATATCACAAATCCCTGAGGCTACCACAACACACACACTGCAGAGCTAAACATGAACTTGCCTGGATACAAGCATGTGTTATGACCCTGATCTTCCATATAACCAATCACACATATTACCAAGATCCTTAGCAAAAGGACTTAGAGGCAAAATATGAGAGCCCCAGAAGAAATTCAGATCAGTATGTGTCCTCTCTAAAGTCCCCATGCTCTAGAAAACTGATCTAAGCACTTAGGGTGTTATGTCTATTAACCACCCTGTCTCAAGATCAACACATTAGAGTCATCCTGTTGAAACAATGCAGTACCTTGTCTAGGCCAACACTTAGGAAGACAGATACAAAAGTCTTGACCTGTCGATGCTCAGACCTCCAACTTTCTGAAGGACTCAGCTTATAGCTAGACTACTCCTCCTGGGCTGGTATTTCATGCCACAGGATAAACAGACTTTAATAGAAATAAAAGTGGGCAAACGATACTGACTTAATGGCAGGAAATCACCATGTGATGACTTGATAGGTTTAACCCAAGCATTCCCTTTAATATTAATATGACACCCATATTGATATTCCTTAAATATATACCAACATCTATTTATTTGAACCAAAGGCATCAGATTTGAAAGCTAGTTACCAGCCTTCAGAATTTTTAGGTTCATGTCTTTTAATGTTTTAATTACTCCAATGCTGACAATGCATTCAGAAGAACTGTGGGCGCCACAGATTGGGTGGTACTACTAAAGCTTCTTAAATATTGAAATACCTAAAAGGGTGGGGGGGATAGTTTCATGTGACCCAGCTCCTTGGAAAAACTACTTAAAATAGAATGAAAAAGTGTCTAATTGCACTTATGACTCTGTTCAGATAAGCAAAATTAACCAACCAACCCTGGGATATGGCAAGGAATTCCATGTATATCTTTCTTTGAGGGAGGGGCATAAGGTTATTTACTGTTAAATAAACAGCCGCCCATTGCTTATTTGTACCCTGGAGATAAATATTTTCCTCTTAAACTAGTTCCTGACCCTCAGATTAGTACCCTTGGGTATGATTAGATGCAGCAAAAGATTGCAGGATAAGTTAAATGAGTTTTCCCCTCAAGTCCTCATTAATCTCCAGAGAGATGAAGGAATTTTTTAAATGCCTGAACTCCAGTGTCCAAAGCAATGTATTCGGCATGATGCATGTCTAATCTCAATCTTCTAGGCATAAGCATGTGAAGTTGATACAGTTTTCCCCAGTTATATGAGGAAACAGGCCTGGGCAAATTTGGTTAACTTGCTTATGGCTGCACCGATTCATTGTAACAAAACCTGTTAAATTCCCAGGATATGTTGTACTGGCTGTAACCAAGGTCGTTTTGCAGATAAATAAAATATCAAGTTACTTAAAACATTGTGCTAGTGCTCTGCTCAGCACAAGTGTAAACAGTTAGCAATCACAATTGGAGGCCTGTAAAAAGACAGGTAAGGTACTACTAACTAACTTTTATTTTGATTAAACAGTCATCTTTGACGAATGTTTATAAAGTACTGTCCCTGTACAAATACTATGCAACATGCCGGGTGGCACTGAGGAAAACCAAATACATATGGCTCCTAGAAAGTCTTGCATTATGCTGGGGAGACAAACGCTTTTTTCCACTCTGGCAAGTCTTCAGAGGGGTTATCAGAGGGCAGCTGGGATTAAGAGTAAGGAAGCAATTCTGGGGAAAGTCGCGCTGGGGTGGGGGTGGGTGGAAGTTTAAACATGAGCGGAGGTCAGACAAGGGAAGAGTGGAGAAAAACCTGCTGAGTAGGGCAAAAGGATAGGAGACTGTGAGACAGAACGTATGGCACAGTCAAAGCACTTAAAAGTACCCAGCCTGCGCCGGGCGTTGGTGGCGGGCGTTGGCGGCACATGCCTTTAATTCCAGCACTCAGGAGGCAGAGGCAGGTGGGTCTCTGTGAGTTCCAGGCCAGCCTGTTCTCCAGAGCGAATGCCAGCATAGGCTCCAAAGCTACACAGAGAAAAAAAGAAAAAAAAAAAAAAAAAAAAAAAAAAAAAAAAAAAAAAGTACCCAGCCTGGCCAGAGACAGACTAAAAAGGAAGGGAAACAGAAAAAATGAGTCAAAGCCACCCATTCGAAGAAATGCCACTCAAAGTCAGTGACTGTACTTCTATGTAAAGACAGTGACTGTACTTCTATGTAAAGTGCAACATGAAGCTCATGTTGCATGTTGCATGTATGCCTGTGCACTGCATGCATGTAGTGCCCATGGAAGCCAGAAGAGGGCATCAGATCCCCTGGAACTGGAGAAGCAGTTGCTTGTGAGTCTCCATGTGGTTGCAGGGAATGGAACCTGGGACCTCAGGAAAAGCAGCCAGTGCCCTTAACTGCTGCACCATCTCTAGGGCCCCTCAAATGCTTTAAACAAGAAAACAAAATAAGCAAGTTGCTTTGCAAAATTGCTACAAATGCTACATAAAGAAATGATTAGGAGTAGTAAACATGGAAGCAGAGATGCCAGACAAGAGGCCAGGGCAGCAGCACATGTGAGTGAGGTTATCACCAAGGAACAAAAGTGTACTGATGAGGGAGCTGGGAAGTGTGTATCAATTTCCAGGTTTCCTCACAGTGACAGCTCTGCCTCACCCAAATGTAGTGATGCCTGAGACACAGCTGTTTTTCTTCCCTTATCCATCAGTCTATCCAGATATGATTGGGCTCTCACTAGGGTTTGGCTTTGCACTATAAATAAGTATGAACACGAAAAAGCATTTCCAGTTCTCATAAAACATCAGTCAATGGTGCATTTTACTTACTGTTGGGGGCCATGAGAGAGGACCAATAGGCAGCATTGAAACTCATGGAACATTGCTGGATGGTTGGCAAAGCCACACCTGAGTGAGCCTTGGAGAGGCAAAATCCTAAGGACTACATGTTCTGAAGACCTCATGCTGTTACTTAGTATAGCTCTGATTGCTGCCTTCACAGTCAGCACATCCGTCATAATCTATGGATTGTATGAAAAAGGGGTTTCTAGCCCCTCACTGGGCAGTGTTACCACCTGTACTTACAATAACAGTGATTGACTTTTTTCAAGCATTGCTGGTGGAGCAGATTAATGATTCAACCACCACCTTTAGAAAGAATTTAGACAAGTAAAATTGTTAGTAAGGTTAAGATGTTTTTCTTAATGGCTTTGAGGTAGAAAATCTTAGGGAATAATTTAAAGTTTAGAAAGATACATAGTTGAGTGTGGGATTCACTGAGGTCAAGAAACAAGAACAATGGCAGCCTGGCTATTGTTGGCTGAGGTACATTTCTTGCTAGGATGGGCTGGTGATCAAGGGTGATGAGTAATTCCTTGTATCCATTTCTGCCCTCAGTTTCCTGATACAAAAAAAACCTTGATGAATGGGTATGTACCCTGAGATCTAAAGCAGAGCTGACTGTTTTTCATATATAAAAGTTTAGATTTGAGCTGGATGGTGGTAGTGCATGCCTTTAATCCCACACTTGGGAGGCAGACACAAGCAGATCTCTGTGAGTTCAAAGCCAGCCTGGTCTACTGAGTTCCAAGACAGCCTTCAAAGGCACAGAGAAACCATGTCTCGAAAAAAAAAAAAAAAAAAGTTTTGATTTGTGATTCTTTTAGGATTTCTTATAAGATTATCTTTTGAGATAAATAATAAAGCTACTGTTCCTTTCTTTGTAACTGCAAAATGCAGACTGCCAGCAAAAGAACTGGCTGAGAAAAATACCTTGCTTGTTTACACTCTGTTAATCTATACCAACTTGATTGGGTATGAATGTATGTGGGTTCTTGGGACAACTTGTTTTTCACCTGTAATATGTAAAATGTTTATCCATGTAAGGGATATGGAAAACATGCTGTTTTTGTTTTACTTGCATTCATTGTAATCATTCACTTAAAAAACATAGAATGTAACCACATTGCAATTTTTATACTGTTTGAAAGATTTTGCTGGGGTGCATAAACTCTAAAGGAAAAAAGTGAGCTAGAAGGAAGACATCAAGAGGGACAGAGGGATACATCTGGACAGAAGTAAGAAAAGAAATAAAGAGATGAGAGAGAAGATGATAGAGACCTAAAAGTGTGTGGGGATTTTTTTCCTACTTTGTCACTGGCCCCAGAGTTAAGTTTTGCCCCCCTCCCTGGCCCCGGAGAATTAAGCTTTATTCCCTCAAATAGAAAAGCCAAGTGATTAGTTTGTCAACTCTGTGGCTCCCCCTCCATCCCTGAGGCTGGCCCTTAAGGCAGTAATAACTTACTATTCTTCACATGAGAATTTATTGGAAATGGTCTACAAATCTAATGGTTTCCTGCTAATAAAATGAATGCTAAGTATTCTTTGGCTGCAAGTAAT